GGGGGGGGAGAGGAGGTGCCACCGAAAACCGCATCGTCGTAACTGCAGTGCTAATGCCGCCTACTTACGTCGGTTTTGTGGTGGGGTCGCCAAGCGCTTGCTGAGGTCACCGTGTGAGACGCGGCGGGGCCTCGGAGCAGCACAGGGCTACAAGCGACACAAAAGTGCAAGAAGAGATTAGTATCACAACCATGTATGCGTCCTGCTCCTGCTGCGCGGCCGGAATGTAGAAAATGGGATAAACTCGCCAAAGTCCTGTGCTGTGCTGACGGTTCGGTAACTGCTGCACGGCGCGGTGGAATGCGCACAATAATAATGTTGTCATACTCCTCGGTTCATTGGCGGTTCCCCGATAGCGAGGGCGGTGTTATGGGCCCTGACCAACGCAAAGCGCGCGCCACGGACGCGATATTTTCCGATTTAGCCGCCAGCGTAAAGCGTAACCAGAGTAGTTGCCTCCGGAGTCCGGACGGCCCCCCATCAACGCGTCCGATCAAGCGACGCACGCGTTATTGGCGGGAGCGGGAGAGCGAGTTGTGTATTTTTCGCGGGGTGCTCAAGTTTGATAATTCGCATTCCATCAATAAGTTAAGCCAAAATAAAGGGGCGCGATTAAAGTGCTACGCAAAGTGGTGCTACAGAATTCAGGGTCACTGGAGAACCGACAGCTACGGATTCGTTTATATTTTTCCCAACACGTCCAGTGTGGCGCCGTTTCCTCCTCCTCATGCCCACTTGACTCGGGTCACCTGCTCAACCCGTCAGCAACAGGGGGCAAGCAGAGCGGATCCGTCGCGCCCCGACGCGCCCCGCCCCGCCCCGCCCGCAAACGCACGACATTGAATTATCTCTCGTACATCACGAATCACGCCGCGTGCCCCGTGCCGCCGCTTCTGTGTGCCCCCCTCTCCCCTACCCTCCTCTGGCGTTTTCGTCGTTGACTAACTTTGCCCGCATCTGGTCTATTTTCGCGACGATTCGGGGCCGTGCGGGCGGCGGGGTATGGGTCACCAGGTCGTTTTTCTTTTAATTTTATTAAGTGCTAAAAGGCCATATCTTTCTTACCTTTTCACGAGTCTTCCCTATCCCGCCTTGACTCGGTGCTGTCGTGCACCAACAATTACTGCGGTGGGATGGTATGGCGAGCGGCGGCTGTTTTGGAACAAGAGCGTGTTTGCGAACCACAGCACCACAGCCTCATGTCATGTCAATCAATGTAGTAGGATGTTCAACTCTCTGGCTCGACCTCCAAGCACAATCAGTGGCCCGCTGACCGACGCCGTCAGGACCTAGACCTCGACCTAGACTGTACCACAGACCGACAGCGGGGGCCTTGTCGTCCTCGCTGTGTGCGCACAGCTGTATTATTTGTCAGGCTCTCGTTAATGTCGCTAGTTGCGAGATAAGGTGAGGTGCTCTCGTGCACTTTTTTTTTGTATGCAAAACTTACCGTCTGTCTTGTGTTTGCCCCTCCGCAGCGTGACATGCTGACGCCGCTGTTACTGCAGTTGCTGGCGTGCTTGCTGCTCGAGGTGCGGGGCGCGGCCCGGGCCGGAGTGCGGGCGGGGGCCTCGGCGCGCTCCGCGACCAAGGAGACCCACATCGCCTTCCTGCGCCTGCCGCCCAACACGCCGGTCCCGCTGCGGGCCAGCACCACGCCCCTGCCCCCCGTGTTCCTGTACAAGCCCCTGCCCATGGAGGGTGCCGGCGCCCCCACGGCGCCGTGCCCGCCCACGACGGCCAGGACACCGCCGAGGCACCAGCCTCCGAAGAAACCCATGAGGGTGCCCGGCAGAGGGCCGCCCAGAGCACCACCCGGCAAAGGGCCGCCCGCAGCCCCGCCCAGGCCGCGGCCCTCCGCGAGGCCAACGCCCCCGGGCCGCCGGCCAGGTACCCAGCACACCCTGCTGTTGCACCAGCATGTCCATCAGCACTACGGACCACCGCTGCACCTGCACGTGCAAGTCCAGCCGGTCGCGGGCGGCAGGACGCGCTCCCCGGCGACCCGAGCCCCGCCGAGCCCCGGGGTCATCCTCGCGCCCAGGCCCACCCGGAGGCCGACGGTGCCCTCTCCCGTGGTGCTGCACCACCACCACCATCACCACCACCACCTGCAACCCGCGCCGCTGCCCGCACCGGCCCCGCTGGTGCCGTCCAGGCCCCACCACGGGCAGCCCGGGGGCCCCGGACGGCCCGCCAGGCCCCCCTCCAGGCCGCTAGAGACGCGCATCATCGTCACCCACCTGCGCTCCAGGGGCGGCCCGTGGCGCCGCGTGGGTCAGGCACGCGCTCCAGCAGCCGCGTGAGGTGGGCTGCCTACCGCCTTTCTCCAGGGCGCTTAAGGTGGCTTAAGACCGCTGGAGCTGTGAGCCCCCTCTGGCTAGCGCCACTCGCTGACCCGGGCTGTGCTGGATGTGGCGCCACAGCAGGCGTACTGCCCCAGCCGCCAACAAGAAGTAGGTTGCTCGGGGTTGGGGTCGAGGAGTCACTGTCCTTAAGACAGTTAAGCAGTTTTAAGTCCACGACCCCACTGCCTCTGGGGGGAGGACAAAGCACGTCGTCAAGACACACACACTCAAGGGGCTTCTGTCCGAGAACAAAGTAATCAGCCCGCTGCCCTTTTGGTTCTCAAACAAACTCGTTTCGCGTGATGAACTCTTTGATTCGAAAGAAGTCATGCATCAGCGAGTGTCGGGTCCAGAGGGGGGGGGGGGGCTGTCACCGAACACGCGCTGGACACGTGCTCTGTGCTCCCGTCGCGTATGTCGACGGACCTGACGAACCGGGCGGGGGTTGAGGGGAGGGCAGGGGTACCGCGGGGAAGGGCGGCGCGAGAAAGTGTTGGACTTGTGGTGGTGATGCTGTCCACACGGTCTTTGGAGAAGGGGAAGAGGAGCAGACTGGGCGGGAGGGGAGAAGGGGGTGGCGCGGAGGGACGGGAGTTGGAAGGGTTGCGTGGTGGGGGCGCCGCCCGCCCTCCCCCCACCCTTCCGCGGCGGAGCCCGCGGCCGCGGGTAGGCGCGCGTGGCTGTACAGTCAGTTGTGCAAGGCGGCGGCCGGCCACGTAGTGGACCCAGGCCCCCAGACCCAAAACAACGAGGTGACTAGGTTATGTTTCAACTTTCTCCCTGCTGTAGCAGAAGCAGAAGCAGACGGTGCCCAGCCTCCGTGCGCGAAGCAGGGCAAGGAAGCAAAGCACGGTGCCACCAAGTTTGAAGCATGTCGCATTGGCCGAAAGACGTGGGCATCCTTGCCATCGAAGCTATCTTCCCGGCGCAGTATGTGGACCAAGAGCAGTTGGAACAGTTTGACAATGTGTCGGCGGGCAAGTACACGAAAGGGTTTGGCCAAGCCAAAATGGGCTTCTGCACGGACCGAGAGGACATCAACTCGCTGTGCTTGACAGTCACCAACAACCTCCTACGAAGGTACAAGATTGACAAGTCAACCATTGGGCGACTTGAAGTTGGGACAGAGACGCTTTTGGACAAATCAAAAAGTGTCAAGACAGTGCTGATGCAATTATTTGAAGATGAAGGTTACACTGACTTGGAAGGTATTGACTCAAAGAACGCTTGCTATGGTGGGACGGCGGCTCTCTTCAATTCAATAAATTGGGTTGAGTCCAGTGCGTGGGATGGACGTAATGCGTTGGTTGTGGCAGGAGACATTGCTGTGTATCCAAGGGGTAGTGCTCGCCCCACTGGTGGGGCTGGTGCTATTGCCATGTTGATTGGGCCGAATGCCCCTTTAGTCCTGGATAGAGGAGTTCGAGCAAGCCATATGCAACACTCTTATGATTTTTATAAACCAAACCCTTTGTCTGAGTACCCGACTGTTGACGGACAACTTTCTGTTAGATGCTATCTATCTGCATTGGATAAATGCTACCAACGATACTGTGCCAAGGCTGAGAAAGCTTTTGGTATTAAACAGATGAGTTTGGACCAATTAGATGCTGTTCTATTTCACTCTCCTTTCTGTAAACTAGTGAGGAAATCACTAGCTAGATTGGTTTTAAACGACTTTGCCCGGCTTCCTCTTGACACTGCTCTTAGCAAGTACCCACCTCTTTCTAAGTTTGCTGGTGTCAAACTAGAAGAAACTTACTCGGATCGTGAGGTAGAAAAAGCTTCCATTGATAGTAGTGAAGAAGTGTTTCAAGCAAAGACTGCAAAATCTCTAAGAATATCAAATCAAGTTGGCAACATGTATACACCTTCTCTCTATGGAGGCCTCATCTCACATCTCATCAGTCGCTCTCCATCAGAACTGGCAGGAACACGCATTGCTCTGTTCTCTTTTGGTTCTGGCCTCTCCTCCTCAATGTTCTCCATCAAATTTTCTTCGGATGGTTCAGCTGGATCCCCTCTCCACCGACTATGCAGTCAGCTTGGGTTCATCAATCCAATGTTGGAGAGGAGAAATCGAATTTCACCTGAAGACTATACTAAGGTTTGTAAAATATTCTGTTCTATCATAAGTAAAAATTTTGATACCACATTTTCTGGGATAACAATAGAAAAGTTAGTCATTTATTTTCTGGGATAACAATAGAAAAGTTAGTCATTTAAGTTGAAGCCTTTTTTTTGTACCTTTACTATGTGTTTTTATTTGTGTGTGGGTGTGTGCAAAAATTCTTTGTTTGTTCAGGGGTTACCACATCCATTATCAAGAATAAGATTTTTTTATAGAAAAGCCTGCTCAACGGACACGTGCCGGTTTGTTATCTATTAGGCGCCAACGCTAGTCGGGTGGACTTTGACAGGCCGAACCGGGTATCTGTAGGCTTATGGAATCAGCCCTGCGTCCCTTCCAGTGGTTCTGAGAGGGAAGCCCCGATGCGTCCAGTCTTCGCGCGCGCTTTATTTGGTTAATTTTGTCTTTTCCCTTTGACTTTTTTTTCTTCTTTACCGCGACGGGACCGGCGCCGGCCAGCGCTCTAGGCCTGGAGTTGGTATGACCCGTTTGCCGGCCGCCCAGGCTGAGTCCCAGTCAGGTCGCGCCACCACTTCTCGTCCTGGAATGTGTTGTCCTGGCGGGGCGCGGCGGGGCGCGGTGGGGCGCGGCGGGGACCCGGCAGGTCAGCGGCCGTAGCGGCCGTGGCCCCAGTGCCCCGGCTGGCACTGGGTCAAGGACGGATCGGGGCGTGGAGGGGCGGGCCGTGTGACCCCCGGGTGTGGCGGGGAGGCAAAGGCGCCCATTGACGGCTGTCTGGAGCCTAGCCGCAGCTGATGCCAAGTCGTGTGCCACCTCGCTGCCGACCGTAACGGTACGTTGCGTTCCGAACGTTCCGAAACGCGTCTGCTCTGCCAGAATGAGGAAGAGTGAGGGAGAGAAGCTTTCAGAGGGAGTGACAGTGACCGGGCGGACGGGCTCAACTCACTGGGGTGGCCCATCGTGGGCTTGTCGTCCATGTGGCCCACCACCGTCTCGGCCCACTATGAGGTGAAAGTGCAGTGAGGGAAAGATTGTTTCGGCTCGACCCAACTCCAGATCGGATCAAATCGGTTCGACCCTTTTTTCCCCCTCCTGCCACACCTTTTCTTCTCCTCTCTTTCTTGAGTAGAAACACGGGTGCGGGCGGAAGCGGCCTTCCGATAGCGTCTCTGCAGTGGGCTAAAAGCGGCTAAAAGGCGGCCGGAAGACGCCACGCGCCACACTTACTTATGGGTGTACCGCGAGCACGCCTTCCCGTGTTGCGAGTCAGTGCTGCCAGTAAAGTTGGGCAGGAATAATCCGCCCAATGCATCTCTGTGTGCAGCGGGTGGTGTTGACGCCTGCCTGCTAGGCAGCCCTCGTGCACGCGCGAGCAGATGTTGCCTAAGGAGGCGGGCGGAGATACGCGCCCGTTGCACACGGGTGTACTGGGCGCGGGGGTTTGCCTAACTTCCTGCTGGCCGTTGTGGGTAGTAGGGCTAGCGGCTCGCCGGGGCCCAGCCGTCGGAGTGAAGTAGGCACACCCGCAACACTCCGGCGCGTCGCGGGAGTCCCATACATTGCTCGCGCCCGGGTCTTGCGGGTCTGCCTACTCGCTCTGGCCGCGGGGCGGGGGCCATGTCGCTTCGAGTAGATAAAACAGCTGATGATGCAGGACGGAGACTCCCACTCGCAGCGCGAGCGAGGGACGCCACTCATACTTCTTCGGAACCGATATGCAGCTGCTGACTATTTTTTTATTATTATTATTTTTCCCTTCATGCTGACCGTGCGCGATCCTGTTGCAGGTGTTGGCGGACCGCGAGCGGGACCACAAGCTGGCGCCGTACACCCCGACGGCCTCCATTGACGCACTTCTCCCCGGGACGTACTACCTCACGCACGTGGACGAAATGTTCCGCCGCACTTACGCCGTCGTACCTTCATAGCATCGATCATATCGCCAGCGTTAAATTAATTTTTTTCTTCCTCTATTTATTGTCTTTTTTCTTCTTGTTGTTCGTGACGAGCTGCACGCGGCCACGTGTGTACGATAATATTGGCGGAAAAGAAATCCATCTCTTTTGGAGGTTTTTAACTCAGTTATCATTATTTTATTGTTATTACTGTTGTTTGTTTACTATCGTTAGTTTTTTCACCCTCTTTGCAATAATTATTGTATCCCAATAGTTTTTGTTGTTGTTTATTTTTTTTGGCGATCGAACAAAGTTAATTATAAATAGCACGACAGCGATCTGTAATGAGCCCCTCTGTTGTATGGCTGAAATAAAATGCTCAAGCTCTCTGGAGTGTAATTTTAGTGATCGTTGGCGCTCGCGCGGTGAGGGTGGGTTCGGGAGTTTATACCGAAGTGTATGTTACGTCATGTTTCCCATGAAATAAAGTCTACGTTTTGTTTGAACGTATGTTTTTTTATGAATGTCTGTCATGGCGAAAACCATCAAGCAGCCCATCAGCAACACTTTAGTACACATCAGCATGCAGCAGGTGCAGCCAGCCAGACACAGATCAGCTGCTTGACATGCAAAGCCTCAGTTAGCGGCCCGCAACACATGACATGCCTGGCCTATAGAGAAAATGTAAGCGCCCAGCCGTCGATGCGCCGGCCGGCTGTTCCGCGCCGTTAAATGTTTCTCAAGCCTGGCAAAAGTAGTAAATTGCTGTGGGATAAGCCAGATGCGGCGGTTGGTCGCAACCTATCACATGGAAGTTAAGCTACTCCATGCATGATCCATGGCACATCCGTACTGTCATCCCAGGCTTCAGGAATGAAGTTAACGCATTACTCTGAGTATAATGGTGGGCGCTATTTTATTTTAGTGTACGAGTTGCTCGTGAAAAGTCAGTTATGTACGTTCTCAAGCCTCTTTTTATCTCGCGCGCGTACATGGCGTTATGATCCGACACGAACGTCAAATTGTTATGGTACCAAACTGCATTACGTTTTATTTTTACCACTGCCTCTTTTCCGTCCATGAATGAATTCTGTTTAACTCCATCTTGTCTTTGAGCAATAATTTGATTATGCTCCAGCAGTTTCTCAAACTATTGCAGTGTCCTAATATTTTGCGACAAAGGCGAGACATTCAAATAGTGTTCATTTCCCGCCTCCCATCTCGCGCTTCTCCCAACCAATCAGCACGCTCGACGCTTAACCCTATTTTCATTTGCACCAACCTCAGAAAAACGTCATGATCTTTAGTGAACCGAAGTAGTTGATTGAAACTTATGAAAAGCTGTCATAAGTAAGTTTAAAGTAAAACAATGTTATAGTTGTACTCATTAATTGCCAGAATTCTGAAAACCGTTGATTTTGAGAGGGTTTTTTAGTGTTCATAAGTTTTATTTTGCAGGGGAGCTGACGCTACATCCCCGCCACAATCGCAGCATACCCAACATGCACCGCAAATCAGAACAATGGCTGCAAGTTTTGGCTGTGTTGGGGTGATGTTATTACGCATTTCAAAGTGAAATATTTAGTGATACAGCGATTGTCACTGATGGTTTTATACGGTAGAGACGCATGTACTGTTCATAGAGTGGTTTTATCTTTTTTACTTGTCATTTTAACGGAGGAATCGGTGAAGAAGCCTCTTGGTGTTTTCTGTCTTGTTCACGTGCGGAATTCTGTAGCGTAGAACGGGCAAGTCTTTATGAAAAGCAAATTTAACACAGTCTTTAGACAACGTCAAGACAACAGTTTAAAAAGGTTTGTCTTCACTGGAAAATGCGTAACTTCTGTACTGTTAAATCGTTATAAATCTTAAGTTTTTGGTTAACAAATAAAATAATGGGTTTGTTTTGGTTCAGGCTTTCGTGAGTCGGACTGTTTTTGTGAAGTTATTTTTCTACAAAATGAGTCTTATGAACGCCCCCTCGAGCTTGAAGGTGAGTGCAAAATAACGCGCGATTCTTAACAAGTCGGCTGTAGTGGCATGTTGTCCGGTATTTAAACTTGTCCTATGAGTGTCCTTTGTTATGTTGTCTGCTACTCGCACTGTGCTTGCTTTGTCGCCTGCCCGCGCGGTCGCGTCGCGGTGCTGGGCTTTGTTTACCTAGTCATGTCATAGGTTGGCTGATATGAGGTAACGCGATCATTTTATCTCAGAAAAAATGACTTCTCATGGTTTGGATAGTTTATTATCGTCCAAATATGACGATTAGTCAGTCTATCTATAGTGATCAATAATAAAAACAACTGTATGTCATCATTGATGAGCACAGCTCTAGATTGTTGCCATTTTCAGTATTCCATTAGAAAAAAATGCATGAATTATGAAATCATGAGTAAAATTCTATAACCTTATACTGATCTACCTCTAATTTATTTTTTGAAGTGAGATGGTGCTTATTTCGTTCACAACTGTTTCATAGCAATACATTATTACTTCTGCATTTTGACCATAAAATTACAAATGGCAATGTCGGCAATGTCAAGTGCTAATTTTGTGCATCATATTGGGATTTACTTTTTGTTTTTGTATCACTCTTTTATATTCTGCATTTCAGTTTGTCTATTCTTAACAGATTCACAACCCTCTAATATTCCCCATTTGGTTTCATGCCTGTTTTCAGTGTTTAATTGAAAAAGTCAACAACTGCTGTCCGGCTTTCAAATTCCATACTGTTTGAAATATGACTTCAAAATGGTTACCCGGAACTCAGGGAAAAAGCCAGGTATTTATTCCTCATTAGTTGTTTAAATTTGTTGTCTATTGTAAAGATGCATCAACAAAATCATTTTTCTAAAAACAATTATACTCTTTCAGATGGTGTACCAGTGGTGGAAGGTCCTCCCCCAAGATTACTTCGGCCACGTGGTGTATGCTTCCGATGTCATTTTCCTACTCCTGCATCATGTGTTTGTCCAACTACAACAACAATTGAGGTGAAAGTAAAAATCCCATCTTTAGTTAGCCCAGAAACTACCATTAACAGCACTTCTCCAACAACTGTTAGGAAGAAAAGGCATGGGCTGGAGAGTAATGATGCAGTTCAATCTAGAAGTAAATCCCCTCCCAGCAGAAGGCAATTGTTTAAGGACAGCTACTCATCCTTTGATGCACCTGGTATAGAATTAAATACTTCAGTTTCTAATGAGGGGCAGGCATTTTCGGAATCAGCTGACACAAGCAGCATGTCTTCCGATTCTGAGAATTCATGTGAAAGTATGTCTAGTCATATGGAGGAAGATGCAGCCATTCCATCAACATCATCAGAACCGGTTGCAGCTACTTCTACAGAGGAAACATCTTTCAAACCAAAACGAAAGAAAAGAAAGCTAAAACCTTCAGGCCGGCATGTCTGCCCTGTATGCTCAAAAATGTTTGGTAGTCCAGGGAAATTAAATCAGCATATGTTCTCTCATACTGGTGAAAAGCCATTTGAGTGTGACAAGTGCCTGAAGGCTTTTTCATCAAAGTTTAAGTTGGTTCGTCATCTACTTATTCATTCTGATGAAAGACAGTATCGCTGTCCTATGTGTGATAGAACTTTTCATCGCAAAGATCATTTAAAAAATCACTTAAAAGTTCACAGTCCTGTGAAGAAAACTTATCGATGTGATAAGGTGGGATGTCTTAAAGTATACAGCTCGCTGCTAAGCTATCGTAAACATGCAGCTGTTCATGCAGCTGAGGAAGGTGACTTAGAATGTAAAATGTGTGGGAAAAATTTTGCCTGTAAAGATGAAATTGTTTACCATCTGAAAGTTCATGCTGGCTCTCGCACAGTAAAAAACCCCTCAGACAAAAAATACAAATGTGATTATTGTGAAAGAAAATTCTTCACAAGGAAAGATGTTAGAAGGCACCTTGTAGTACATACTGGCAAAAGGGACTTTTTGTGTCAGTTTTGCCCTCACCGATTTGGAAGGAAAGATCACCTTGTGCGCCACATAAAGAAGAGTCATAGTAATGTAAGCAGCAATGTTAGACCAGGAACCTCTAAGGGAAAGCGTTCACGTCAAATAACAAGTGCCGAAACTTCAACTTCAAGCTCATCAACTCCAAGACCGAAAACAGTTTTACGAACGCATGGAAGACCAAAGGCTGCCATGTCACTAGAATCTACCAGTGAAACTGGCAGCGTTGTGTACCAGGAATCAGATAACCAATATATATCAGGTGTTCTGTCAGAAATTACTACAGATATTAAATCAAAACAGGTAGACTCAGACCTTGCGCGTAAGGTTCACGAAATGATTTCTTCACATGACGGTGATGTGTCATTCCATGTTGATCATGTGAAGGTTGAGGACTGTCATTTGCTTCCTGAGCTACAACCTATAATATTCTCTAGCCCTGTCTCTCATCCTCCATTTGAGCATATCCCAGTGGACAATATAAATGTGCCAACAGATCAAGTTGACGGTGCCATCAAGTCAGAGGAATCGCTTTCAGTTGGAATGGACATGAATCAATTTATTTCAGGATATTTGGTCCCAACAAGTGTACCCTCCACAGAAGCAAATGGTGTTGAGGGTCAGCCAACTGATGAGCCTCCTGTTCCTTCACAACCTCCACCATCTACTGGAATGTCTGATGCTGAAGCAACTGAATTTCTAGCACATTTTTCAAATGACGAAGAAATACTGCAGTTGATGGAACTGTCCATTCCCTCTGCCTCTACCTCATCCTCAACAGGTGACATAAATACACCAGCTACAACCCTTGGTCCCTTACCCAGATTCCAACAAGCATTTCAACAGCAACCACCCTGATGTTACTTTACATCATCACTGTGCTGCCTTGGATACAGTGGTGATGTCTAAACTTGGCCAAAGTAAAGCTGTTAAAATTTGCTTTAAAGCCTTTTGTGTAAATATATCTGAGGATGGAGTAAAGCTATTAGGAATTAGTCTGTGCTAAATAGGTTAGTATTTTTTATTGTTAAAGTACAGACAGCTTCGTAAATTTTCTGTAACAGTCAGAAACTGTCACTATGCATTTTGGCCAAGCTCAGACATCACAACTTATTCAACTCCACTCACAGTTGATCTAGGTAGCTATCAAATTTTAAATTTCATCTGTTCCACAACTATGCTGTAACACTATTTATTTTGAAACTGCACTGAACTGCTTGATTTCTTCCCATCAATTACTTAGAAGAAAGTTTGAAAATTTCTCTTTTTGTAACATTCTGTTAGCATGTACACATCCTGAAACATGATGTACACAAAAATTTTATGCGCTGTTTCAGGAATTCGATGACTGATTCATGTTATGACACCTTGTGATTTTGCTGAGTGTTCCAAATACTTAAGGACTTGGAAAGCCCCTTTTGAGCTGTATTTTCAGAATGTGTGTAATAGTTTTGTGTATGATATCTATCTATCATTGTTGACTGAATGGAAAAAGAAGCAATATGCCTTACAATCTTATGTCATTGGTGAAAAAAATTCTTACTCTCATTTTGTTAAGTTTCCTTGAAAGTGGTGTCTATTACTTGGCCAAAGATATTGACAGTGTCTGTTCTATTGACACTTTTCTTGATGGCTTTTGGATTGATTGTGTGATTATAAATCTAACATACCTGCTAGTACATGAGTTTTGATCAGTGTTGTGGCAAGATAATCTATTTTGACATTTTGGGGATTTTTGAGTGTAATTGAAAATGTCACTATTTCTCAAAGCTTGTCTTGTAAAGATACAGATAGTTATGAAACAAAACAGGGTGAATTAAAACTCTTTTGAAATAAGTTGTAAAGGGCTTAAAAGTCATATGTTTAAATTGTTATGTTTGGTTATGATGTGTGCTACATTTCCCCAAGTGTTTCTCAGCTTTGGATCTAGCAGTTTATTTCATCTAAAATTACAAGGTTAATGGATGTCGCTTAAATCTGTTGAAATATCGGCAAGTGACTGTTTGTTTTTGTTCTCGTCATTAAATTTCTGTGTTATGTTCTTCTAATGTTGATTTGAAAGTTCAGTTTTGAGATTCATACTGCACATAGTTTTAGATCTAAAATGTAGGTGAGAAGAGTGTGAATTCCTTAATTTGGGGGATATTTTTACATTTTTATACTGTGGTGTGAAAGTTGGTGAATTGTTGAGAGAAGTCTATATTTTGATAGTGCTGTATTTTATAGTTTTAGATTTACAGATTTACATTTTGTATGCACGTATACTTTTACATTAGGTTTTTATTATTAGAGGTAAGTACCTCATGTACAAATGGATTGCAGGAGATAAAACTTGATAGACCATGCTTAAAATGTGAGTGAGGCTTTAGTGTGTCCTTAATCAGTTCTAGGCTTTGCATCTTTAACTTTATATTATTGATCTAGGTCTTTGAAAATTCCCTTTTTTTGAAGTACATGATATGCCAAATAGTGTCTCCTTAAACTTCTCAAAATCATAATGGACAAGCAGCATAGCACCTCTTAAAGATGTATCACATAAGAAGTCAATTGAAATGTTTCTTCTACGTATATCCTGTTTTTCTGTTTTTTTTTGTTGTATTTTTCCATTTTGCCGTTTTTGTGATGTTACAGTGCCATTAACATTTTTCAGGGAAAAAATTATTCACAAAAACTCTTAGAGTTGTGATGAAAAATGGTTTATCAAGATTTATGTTCAATTTGAAGTAGCTTCGCCTAAGTCCCAGATTTAATTCCTTACAATTGTTCTCTAGCTTTTATGTATTGAGTAACCTTTCTGTTTAATTTTCAAGTCATTGCAGTTAGATAAGGTTGTTTTCCTTTTTTGCTTAGCTTTATTGTTGTTTGAGTAATTTCTTTTGTTTTTTGTGCAATGTGCAGGAAACATCAGCCCCATCTCAGTAGTCCGAGCAGGTTTGGTCCACGTTTTATCAAAGTTCATGAATTGCTTGTATTTAAGAGTTTACAAACTCTTCTCTAAAAGAGATGCGAGGCTTTTCTTTGTGATACTGTGGCAACTTATTTTGTTTTGTTTTGTTTTGTTTTCGTTCAGAAAATATGTACGGGTATATTTAAATTGCGCCTTTTGGTGCACATTTTTTTTCTTTATGCGCTTGTCATTCAATGTAGGACTTTGGTTCTGTAAGAAATTATGTGGCTGTATTAGCAGTTGTACTTATCGTGTTAAGAGTTGCTGAGTTTGTATGGTACCTGATGGGTATAGAGTAACCATTCTTTGCAACATATTTTGCTGACATACTTTTGTGCTCTTGAAAGTTGTTCCATATTCTATATTGCCTTTGTCAGCATATGATGGTTTGAAATGTGTGAGTAGAATCAAGGGCTCTTGATTTTATTGCAATATTATGTAAATTCCAACAGTTTGTCAATGGGCCTATTCATAATTACTCTTAAAGTTTGCAATTTTACCATGTAAAAGGTTTATCATATTTTTCTAGTACATATTCCAATGATACCTATTTTTTTTTGAGGATGAGTGAGAAGAAGTATGGAGCTATGTTTCTTATCCATGTTACTGTA